CGAATCTGAAACGGACTCTCCTATCCAAACAAAACAAGATTTGACTAATTAATACTCCGGCAACGCTGATCACCTTCCAACTAACCTAGACTTAAAACGTATACGTAACTAGTACTTGTGCAACCTTTGGACTCTACTATAATACCAAGCTAACAAAACTAGTATTTCTTGTGCCGACCGGATCACAGCTTCTTCGGTGGAGTCCTAAAATTTGGTTTAACTTCATCTTGCGGTGGAGAAATCTGAAGTATCATAGAACCAATCTATATATATGAAAAAGCTTCTAAAATACCAGCTTCTTTCCCTTTTGGAACTGTCACGGTCAACTTCTCATGCATCGGTGTAACTTTAATATTTCTTGGACGAGTGACAGTAGTCTTGGCATAGATGGTCACATCATCCTGCCCCTCTTGAAATGAAGCCATCCTTGGCTTCAAGATACCTTTAGGGATCTTACAGACATCGTTCTTGATTGCACTAGAGAACATCGGCTGTAACATACGTCGCCTTCCAGAGTCCCAAAAGGAATAAGTGTTGGACCTCCCATCATGTGTAGCTCGATGATCATATTGCCATGGCCTCCCCAACAACAAATGGCATGCATCCATTGGTAGAACATCACAGATAACTGTATCGATATAATTGCCAACCGAAAAATTGATGCGCATCTTGTGAGTAACTTTCAGTTTGCCCGACTGATATAACCATTCGACACAGTGTGGTTGTGGGTGCTTCCAGGTTGGTAAAGCAAAAGCATCCACCAAGTCCTTGCTGACTGCATTAGTGTAGCTTCCACCGTCGATGATCAACTTGCAATTGGTGTTGTTGATCTTGCATTGAGTCTGAAAAATATTCCAACGCTGCCCCTTATCCTCAATGCGATCCTCTTGCACACGCTGCACCATTAAGGACGGATATGATTCAGCAGCTTCAAAACTAGCAGTCACCTTCTCAGCATCTTCAAATTTTTCACTAGAAGTGTCAAAAACTGCATCTTCATCACTCGCGGATGCATAGCCATCTTTTGTGAGCAATACTCTCTTCTCATTAGGACATTCACGCTTCATATGTCCCCTTCCTCCACACTTGAAACACTCTATGTCACTGGAACGATTGGTCGACTGTGCACTAGAATCAACCCTCGACGGTCCTGATTTTGAAGCATTCTTTTGCACGGAACCATGAGGGCGATTTGATGTTGTCGTCCTCGAGCTAGGACCGATATCCTCACTCTGATGTTGGGAGCGTCGCCATGTGTTCAAAGTGGTACTGGGAACTGTGTTGACTTGGCGCCGCTTAATCTGTTGTTCCGCATGCACAGCTTGATGCACAAGATCTTGTATGTTGTAGTAGACCACCATCTCAACACGTTCCTGCACCTCGATATTTAGCCCGTTAAAGAAACGTGACATGGTCGCCTCCGGATCCTCCATTGTCCCTGTACGTATCATAAGCAATTCCATCTCCTTGTAATATTCATCAACACTCAAATTACCTTGAGAGAGCCGCTGCAACTTGTTGTACATATCTCTTTTATAGTGCTCAGGAACAAAACGACGCCTCATGAATTCTTTCATACCTCGCCAAGTTGTCGGGCGATGTCTTGAACGACAAATTTGATTCCACCAAATTAGCGCGTAACCGGTAAACTCAATTCCAGCAAGTTGAACTTTCTTCTCCTCGCTATAACGATGGGTATCAAAAATTTGATCAACACGCATCTCCCACTCCAAATAGCCTTCTGGTTCACACTTGCCGGAGAACGAAGGATTGAAATTTTTATGCGCCCAATTCCATCATCCAAAGGCACACGCACAGCTTGACCAACTCGGTCATGCACTCCACCACGAATGGATGTTTCGGGACGAGGCTCATAGTGTCGTGGTCGTGGCGCGTACCCCGCGTGGTCAATGCCATCACCGAAACCATCATCTCCAGCATGAGGGTGTGCCGCCAGACGGCGATCATGCACGCCAGCATATCCGTCGCGAGCTGGTGGTGCATAATACAGTGGAGCAGCCGGAGCAGTCTGTGGTGGTGCAGAAGTGGCTGCCGGCATATTGATGATGTCTGCCAAACCATCGAACCGAGTGATCAGGACATCTATCTTTTTGCCGAGCGCATCATGACATTGCTTGATGTAGTTGCATGTGTGGTCAAAACCATCCCGAATATTTTGAGGAATATCATCCGCATACACTGGACGCACTATTTCCTCAGAATCAGCAGCAACCTCGTCACCCTTGTCGGTCGAGGTTGACATCTTAATCAACACAGTACCGTGAACAACCTTAGCTCTGAATACCACTTGATGAAGACTCAACTAGATGGCGAGTCGTTCGTCGGCCCAATCTTTCACGATACTGGCAATAGCACAAGAAATTCCGATCGAGCAAATATGCAAGACCGTAAGATCAAAAGAAACTAGCGTTGAGTAGATTAGATCGGCTCCACGCGCAGCAGCAACAAAATCCCAATGGATCAGCAACGAAGACAATATTTGGTGTCCCTCGACATAGGACGTTTTCTGACTATTATTGAACTCACGATGAAACAAAACTTGACCTTCTTTACACGGCGTATCCCTGCTTTTATAACGCGCGTGCAGGCACTTCTCAACCGACTCCATGTAAGCGAATCTGAAACGGACTCTCCTATCCAAACAAAATAAGATTTGACTAATTAATACTCCGGCAACGCTGATCATCTTCCAACTAACCTAGACTTAAAACGTATACATAACTAGTACTTGTGCAACCTTTGGACTCTACTATAATACCAAGCTAACAAAACTAGTATTTCTTGTGCCGATCGGATCACAGCTTCTTCGGTGGAGTCCTAAAATTTGGTTTAACTTCATCTTGCGGTGGAGAAATCTGAAGTATCATAGAACCAATCTGTATATATGAAAAAGCTTCTAAAATACCAGCTTCTTTCCCTTTTGGAACTGTCACGGTCAACTTCTCATGCATCGGTGTAACTTTAATATTTCTTGGACGAGTGACAGTAGTCTTGGCATAGATGGTCACATCAAGGGTGCACCCTACTTATAGGGAAAAAGAGCCAGGGTTTCTTTGCTTTTTTCCTCTCCAGGTTTTTTCATTTGTTTCTTCAGTTTTTTATTTCCTTTTTCCTTTAGTTTATTTTGTTTCCTTTTTGGTTTTTTGTTTGTTTCTCTTTGTTTTTCATTCTGTACTGTTATATACATGATCAATATTTTTAAAATCAAATTCTTAAAAAATAATATACTTGTTCAACATTTTATATACACGATAAATATTTTTTCAAATACTTTTCAATATTTTTTTCAAATACTTATTCAACATTTTTATATACATGACCAACAATTTTTCAAATACTTGTTCAACATTGTTTCAAATAGTTGTTCAACATTGTTTCAACTTTATTTTGAAGAGTTCGTTTGTAATATATATATATATATATATATATATATATATATATTGAAGTATAAACAGAATTACAAAAAGAAATGAAAAAGTAAAACAGAAAATGTAAAGAAAAAACAGGAAAAAGAGGTTGCGGCCTCCCGCGCTCGCGGGCCGGCTCAGCTCGCTCGCCCCTTCAGCGAGTCCGAAGCCAGACTCGCTCAAGGCGAGACATAGGCGTGCCCTGGTGCCCCGACCACCGCACACCATAGCCACGCCGGCCGGAATCCTCCTCATCCCTCCAACTCCAAGAAAGTCTCTTTCTTCCCATGCCGGATCTCTCTCCGTCGCGCCGCCGCGCGCGGAGTGGGGGACTGGTTCGAAGCAAGAGATAGGAAGGGCCCGAGCATCGCCGGGGACCGGAGAGGAGGGGGAAGATGGAGGAGACGCCGCCGTCCTTCCGGCGCCGTGGGAGACCGAGTGTGCAGCGGAGCGGCGCAGAAGGAGTGAACTGCTACGAGGTTAAGTCTGAATTCATGCATTTCTTTCAGAAAGCATGTGCAGTTCTTCATACTACTATTTCTATCTGAAACTCAATCTGTGGTTTACCCCTAATGTTTGTTTGTTGGCAATTTGCAATTGCCCATCATGTTCTGAATGGCACGCATGGTGCTTGGCATAGTTTGATTTTGACAAAGATACCAGGGCCATAAGGTGAGCCTCTAACAAAGGTACCTGAAACGAAACCTTGAGGGCAACTGGAAACGTGTATCAAACTGTGGGATTTTCTTGAAGGGTTCTCCCCGCTGAAAGTCTGAAATCCAACTCAAAGCCTGTGGGATTGGCTACTGGTTCTGCGCTCCGAAGTCGGAACTAAGGCCCAGTGCTGTGCTTTGTGGTCAACTCCAAAGTCTTGCATATTTCTGCCCCCTCTTGGCCTGCATATATATCTAGTGCAAGGTCTCTGTCAGTCAAGTCCACAAAGTGTCTTGGAGGATAACATTATATATGCCCAAGATTAGTGCTTAATGCTGCAGTCATGGTCCAAGTTTGGTCCTGGAACAGCATGTCACTCATGAGCGAGAACACCCTTTCGTCGATTCAGAGCGGGGAGGGTGATGCATTGAAATTAACAACATAATATGGTTCTTTCTTTAAATCTTATATCAACACAAGCATTCAACTAGTTTGAAGACGAACGGGCCACTAATTTGGTTACTTCATGGCAACACCAAAATCATGCGTATTTCTGCCCCACTAGGCCTCCATATCAAGTACGGGAGCTTCAGTAGTCAAATCCACAAAGTGTTTGGACCCCAAATCAATATGTTATCTACCCCAAGATCAGTGCTTGGCGGTCAGTCGTTGCCAATGTTTGGTCGTTTGTGCATGTCTGTGGCCATTCTCCAAAATGTTCGTCAACAATTCCACTAATGGTCTCGCGAATAATATAAAAAATGCCACTAATGAAGTTGCTTTGTTGACTAAGCATACCTCCTTGGCCATGGACTAAACTGTGAGCTAGTCTACAGTCTAGGGATGGCTAGTTATAAAGACCGCAGCAAGCAAGGAGCAGAGGAATTCACGGCATAATCTGAAACCCTTTTCTTCCAAATGGTCTGCTACTTGTTATGGAGATGTTTGTTCCTGGTCCTCTGTGGAGTGTGCTCCATGTTCCAGAGTTCTTCGGGCTGTTTCATGGAGGAGAGAGCAGCCCTCATGGATATTCGCTCTTGGCTTGTGAATGCAGAGTCCAAGGCTCCCACTTCTTGGGGAGACGGTGGTGACTGCTGCTCATGGGAAAGGATAACCTGCGACAATACCACACACCGACTGTCTCATCTCAACCTTTTCCAGACCTACCAAGAAAACCTACAGTATTTCGAAGATGAATGTCCGAATTTTAACTTGACGATCTTTTCTTCGTTTCGGGGGCTTCAACTACTGAATTTCTCTGGACATCACGCTTGTTTACAGAATTTCGAGGGTACGTAACTCCTGCTGCATGCATGCGCACAACTCTTCTTTTAATCTTCCAATAATTTTGATTGAAAATCACATCTTATTCCGAAGCAAACATTTCCTCAGGTCTCCAAGGATTGAGTAAGCTCAAGTATCTCGACCTCAGTTACAACAGTTTTCAAGGTGGGGGTATCCCAGGATCTGTTGGCAAATTGGTTTCTCTAGAAGTCATAAATCTCAATGGAAACAACATAGGTGGGACTCTTCATAGTACAGGTACCGAAACGAAAAATATATATTCTTTTTTCAGTTGACTGATGCAATTAATTTGTACTTACTATAAGGCGTGTACAAATGGCAGATTTCAGTAATCTCCGTAATCTGCGTGAATTGCATTTGGGATCTAGTCAATTGAAGGGTAGCCTCCCAGCATCCATATTTGCACTTCCACGCCTTGAGTACCTGGATCTTTCATACAACCTCTTCGAAGGACATATACCTATAAACTTATCTCGGAACTTGCGATTGCGAGAATTGTATTTGACTTTCAATAGATTGAGTGGAGGCCTCCCAACATCCTTATTTGCACTTCCACGGCTTGAGTACTTGGATCTTTCAGACAACCTATTTCAAGGACATATTCTTACAAACTCATCTTGGAACCTCCGAGCATTGCATTTGGGATCCAATCAATTGAGTGGTACCCTCCCAGCATCCGTATTTGCACTTCCATGCCTTGAGTACTTGGATCTTTCATACAACCTCTTTAAGGGACATATACATATAAACTCATCTTGGAACCTGCGAGAATTGCATTTGAGATCCAACCAATTGAGTGGTAGGGTCCCAGGATCCGTATTTGCACTTTCATGCCTTGAGTACTTGGATCTTTCAGAAAACCTATTACAAGGGCATATACCTATAAGCTCATCTTGGAAGTGTACATCATCGCTTCATACCATCCGGTTATCTGATAACAGGCTAAGCGGTCAATTTGATTTCTTCTGGCTAAGAAACTGTGCCAAACTCAAAGAGATAGATCTGTCCAGGAATACTGATTTGGTCATTCAAGTGCAAATGCATGGCTGGGTACCTAAATTTCAGTTGAATACACTAAGGCTCTCTTGGTGTAACCTTGATAAGAGCATGATTACCGAGCCACATTTCCTGCACACACAGAATCATCTGCAGTTTCTCGATTTGTCCAACAATAATTTGCCGGGGAGCATGCCCAACTGGTTGTTCACAAATAAAACCACACTAGTTTATCTGAATCTTGCAAATAACTCACTAGTTGGATCACTAGATCTGATAGGGCAACCACAAACTAATCTTAAACAGGTGAATGTATCATTGAACCTAGTTGAAGGACAACTGCCAGCCAACATTGGTTTCATGTTTCCCCATCTCATAATTCTCGATGTTTCCCGCAACACTATTTCTGGAACAATACCACCAGCATTGTGCAACAGCAGCATACAACTTATGGACCTATCAAATAACAGATTTACAGGAAAAGTACCAGCTTGCTTGTTCACTGATTGTTATGCAATGAATATATTGAAGCTCTCAAACAATACACTTGGTGGCAAGATACTTGATGGGGCTAGTAGCTTCTCCGGTGACCTATGGGCAATACACCTAGGCAACAACAAATTTGAAGGGACTCTCCCTAGAAATCTGTCTGGTAATGTCCAAATCATGGATCTGCATGATAACAAGATGTCGGGAGAACTGGACACTTCCTTATGGTGTCTTCCTTCACTGCAAGCTTTGAGCCTTGCTAATAATGGTTTAACTGGTGGCATTCATCCAGAAATTAGCACATTAACAAATCTTATGATGTTAGACCTGTCAGGCAACTACTTTACAGGACGTCTCCCAAACTGCGACACTATGGTATACCTCACGTTTCTGAGTGTATCGGGGAATTCCCTGTCAGGCTCCCCGGGTGCCTTTTTCAACAGCTCCTACATTACGGCTTTAGATCTCAGCAATAATCAGTTCACAGGCAACCTTGAGTGGGCACAACATCTTTCTCAAGTCAGTGTACTTTTGTTAAGCAGGAATAAGTTTGAGGGACATATCTCTTCAAATCTCTGTCATCTCCAACACTTGAGTATAATTGACGTCTCGCACAACAAACTTTCGGGTTCCGTACCACCATGTATTGGTGGCATTCCATTTGAACCCATTGATCCTTTCGAAAATTGGCCCGCAGCTGGTAGTATTACCTATGGAGGAGGCGAATATGGTGCGGACTTTGTTTATAACAATAATTATGACCTCCCAGGCTTCACCTTCACAACTAAAGGGCACCCATACACATATGGACAAAACTTCTTCATGTCGATGTCTGGCATTGACTTCTCTTCAAACATGCTGTCAGGTGAGATTCCGAAGGAGATGGGGAATTTGAGCCATATCAAGTCTCTCAATTTGTCGAACAATTTCTTGACTGGACCGATTCCTGCAACCCTCGCAAATATGAGCGAGATCGAAAGCTTAGACCTGTCCAAAAACAGGCTGAATGGGTTGATACCATGGCAGTTGACACGGCTATCATCATTGGAGGTGTTCTCTGTGGCATACAACAACTTATCGGGATGTCTACCAGACTCTGGTCAGTTTGGCTCATTTGATACAGACTGTTACAGAGGGAACAACAACCTTCGATCCTGCACTTCCAGTTCAGGTCATGTGGCATGGAATGGTACTGCAGGAAGTGTGCCTGATGATTCTGACCCGATCCTCTACGTGGTCGCTGCCGTTTCATTCGTCTTGGCATTTTGGGCCACTATCAGTTTCGTATTCTGCCATTCATTTGGGCGGCGTGTTATTCTCAAACTGTGGTAGGTAAAGATGGAGAGAGGGCTAGTGATTAACAGCGCTGATGTGTAAACAACACAAGGAGATCACTTTTGTAATCTGCTTTGTCAAGTAAGAATCACTGTAAGAATATGGAATATTTTTTTGTCAAACTTTGTCGAGTAAGAATCAATGTAAAAATAGAACCCTGAATGGTGGCTGCAATCATCAGGGGTTGGATGTTTTTGCTGCCTTTTCTTGTAAGTTCATGGTGCAGAATGGTGGTGTGTAATGTTGAGATTTTGGTGCTGCTTCCTTTAGCACGTATTTTTTCTGAACTGAATTTTCTTTAGCACTTATTTTTTTCTGAACTGAATTGTCTCAAAATGTTTGTGATGGTAGAAATATTTCTTTAGTTGAGGATTTCGGAGGTATGTGCTGATATGCTAAGCTGCAAGATTGGGCTCGATGTACTACATAGCCCCTTTTGTCACTCTTGGAGTCGTCTTCCTCTGCATCTCCTTTACTTTGTTTTTTACTGTCAGCAATGCTGATCTTGTGTCTATGGCTGCTGCAAACTATAGGCGGCGTTTTTCGGTCCGGGCAGTGGCCAGGCCGTCCGTCGGGACGTTTGGGGAGGATTTGAGGGGTCCGGCTGTAGATGCTCTAAGTTAGACATTGCTACTCCCTTCGGTCCATATTAATTGACGCAATCTTAGTACAACTTTATCCAATTTTCAACTGCTATCTCTCAACTGTCAAACATCACTTTTCGTTTCTGTGAACCGTCAGAGAAGTTTACTTGGTGATGATTTGACTGTTCCATGGAAGCAGTTGCTTTGCTAGCTACTCCGTTGACCGTGCAGCGGCCTACGGAATCTTCCGGCTGACGTCTCAGGATCTCAAGTATGTCGCCCTCAGCTGAGAACAGCTTTCCATTTCCAGGTGAGGATGTCTCAGGATCTGACGTGTTGGCAAATTGGTTTCTCTAGAAGTCAAAAATCTCAATGGAAACAACATAGGCGGGACTCTTTTCATAGTACAGGTACTGAAACAAATAAAAATTATATTCTCTTTCAGTGAGGCGTGCCTTGCCGGGAAGCATGCTACTGCTCGTCGACGACCATTGCGTCCAGCCGGTTCATGTGGGCGGCGCTCCTCGCCTCAAAGAACGAGGGGCAGGGCAGACCATCGTCGAATCAACGAGCTCCGAAAGCAATTTCTGAAGGGAAAACATTTCTGAACTACTCTATACTTGTTTCAGGCATAATACTGTAGACTTCCAATACCAAAGCAATACATCAAAAACAGGTGACCAAAAGGTACTCCCTCCCTTCCTAAATATAAGTCTTTGTAGAGATTCCATAAGGTGGACTATATACGAAGCAAAATGAATGAATTTACCCTTAAAATGCATCTATATACATCCGTATGTGGTTCACAGTGAAAACTCTACATAGACTTATATTTAGGAACGAGGGAGTAGAAATTATTATGCTTACTACATCAATCAAGCAACTGCTAGTACTACGTACTCCGTTGACCGTAGGACAATGGAATTCATCTTCCCGCCGGCGTCCTGGAAGAAGGCCGCCACGGCAGCCCACTCCTTCAGGAACCTCTCCTCCACGCCGTCCTTGAGCAGCGCCGGGAAGAAGAGCCGGAACGAGGTGCCCGGCCGCCACGAATAGCCCCACCACCGCCGTCGCCACGGCGCATGGCGGCCTCGCCGCCCACCGCCGCGTGCACCACCCCTCGGCGCCGTACATGGGCCAAAAAAACGGCCATTGGAGTACTCCTAGGCATAAGCAACCGGAGGCTGAGGCGGAGATGGAGCTCGCCTTGCAAGTCTGTAGCCGAGGACGAACTCAGTGGGGCGCCGGGGTTGCGGTGTGCGCCGTCCTGCCGGCGAGCCGGGCCACCAGCCGGAGGAAGGTGTCGAGGAGGAGCACCAGAAGGCGCTGACGTCGGGGAAGAAGCAGAGCGGCCACCGCACTAACAGTGATAATCTGTAAACAACACTGGGAGATCACTTTACTGATGTGCTTTTCCTATTATGTGTGTATTTGTAAACTACTCCCTCCGTTCCGAATTACTTGTCTTAGATTTGTCTAGATACGGATGTATCTAGCACTAAAATGAGTCTAGATACATCCGTATCTAGACAAATCCAAGACAAGTAATTCGGAACGGGGGGAGTATATGTTGCTTCCTTTTGTTGCTTTTGAGAAGATGCATGTCTCAGTAAGAGCACTCTGATTTATTCTGCTTCAAGAAGGCGAGTAATTTGATCCTGTTGAAAATAAAGTTGAGAAGAGATTGCCTCTTGGGGTCAGAATGCTACTTAGTTTTCGTGGCAAGGTTGTGAAACTGTTGGGATTTTTGAAAGCTTGTTTTCTCTTGCAACAAGTATCATGAAGTGACGTGGAGCAAGTTTATCTTCTTACACAGCAGGGTGGACTGATGTTTAATCTCTTTTCTTAACAGTGAAGAGTTTTGTCAAACTTAAGTAAGTAAAATTCACCTGAAAAAACTCTGAATGGTGGCTGGGATCATCAGGGGGTGGATGGATGTTTTTGCTGCTTTTCTGTAAGCTCAAGGTGCAGAATGGTGGTGTCCCTGTGTGCAGTTGAAATTTTGGTTCTACATAGCCAGCCCTTCCTTTGGCACTATATATTTCTGTACTCAACTTCCTTTAGCACTGCTGAAAGTCTCGTAATGTTTGTAACGGTAGAATTATTTCGGTAGCTGATGATTTTGAGGGTATTTGCTGATGCTAAGCTGCAAGATTGGGCTCCATGCTACATGGCCCTTTGTGAATTCTTGATTAAAGTCTTTCTTCCTCTGCTTCGGCTTTACTTCCTCTCTTGTCACTTGTCAACAACTGATGTGCTTCTGTCCATGGTGGCTGTTGTGTTTCTGAATGCAAAACCTGCCAGAGAGATTTATGCAAAAACCAAAGACATGGTTTGGGCTGTCTCTTAGGGCTAAGCGAGTTTTGCCGTGTTGTATTCCTTTGTTTTGCGCCGAGCATCCCACGTCTCTTGCTATGGGCATCATGTCACGTCTTCTTACATTCGTGTCATGTGGTGTATCATGCACTCGCTCTTTCTTCTTCTATCAATGGAGAAAACAAAGACAAATATTTAGTTGAGCTTTTGCATTCCCAATGTCTGTTATCAGTTTCTTAGCAGTATTGGGCCGTGTGCATCCTAGTTATACAGAGGCCGGGTGTTACTCATAGTGCTATGTATTTGCTTGATGCTGCATTTTGAAATAATAAAATCACCCTTTATCGAAAAATTTCTGTTACCAGTTTCTTAGCCTACTATTCAACTGATATTCGCCTTTTTAGCACATCAAAAAAATTCAAGCTGATTCATCCAACTTCTAACTGGTATCTCTCAACTGTCAACGGCGCTTTTCGTTTTCACTGAACCATCAGAGAAGTTCACTTGGTGATGGATGATTTGACTGCTTTCATGGAAGCAATTACCATTGCTACCTACTCCGTTCACCGTACAACAATGGAATTCATCTTCCCGCCGGCGTCGAGGAAGAAGGCCGCCACGGCCGCCCACTCCTCCAGGAACCTCTCCTCGACGCCGTCCTTGAGCAGCGCCGGGAAGAAGAGCCAGAACGAGGTGCCCGCCACGAACAGACCCACAGCCACCGTCGCCACGGCCCGCGGCGGCGGCCTCCTGTCCCCCCACCGCCGCGCGCACCACCCCTCGGCGACGCAGCAGGCGCCGTGGAGGGCGAAGAAGGCGGCCATCCCGCCACCGGGCGGCCACCGCAGGCTGAGGTAGCACACCATGGCCTCGTGCATCGCCCCGGACGCCGCGAACGCGGCCAGCACGCCCGCGGCGGGCCCCGCGCGGGCGCGCACGGGGTCGTACACCGCCGGCCGGAGGACGGCCGACACCATGAGGTTCCACCGCCGGCCCCAGAAGTCCCGCAGCGAGGAGGCCAGGTAGGGCCGGTCGAACTGCGGCTCCGTCTCCATGCCGAGCGCGCCCGCGGCGGCGGCGACGCAGGGGAGGAGCAGGTCCAGGAAGCAGTAGGTGTGGGCGCCGTACAGTGCCAGGCGCGCGTAGATGTGCAGCCGGGCGTTGAGCCGGTAGAGGCCCACGAGGGCGGCCATGACGGCGGCCTTGACCGCGCAGGAGGCGAGCGTGGGCAGCGCCGGCTTGGCCTCGGATGCGCCGCCGCGCCGGAGCTTGACGGGGAGCAGGGCGGTGAAGAGGAACGGGAGCACGGGGAGGGCGGGGTGGAGCGGGCCGCGGCCGGCGGCGAGGAGCGCGACCTTGAAGGCGCCGAGCCAGGCGAGGAAGAAGGCGGCGACGCCCCGGACGATGGCGGAGGAGGCGAAGGCCAGCGGCGCGGCGGCGAGGAGCGCCAGCACCGGGAGCAGCGCGACGAGGCGCGGGAGCCCGGGCCGGAGGAGGGACGACGCCGCGCGCGCGTACAGCGCGGCCGCCGCCGCGGCCAGGGACACCGCGGGGATGCTGTCCCGCAGGAGCTCCATGGCCAGCGCGCTCGCGACCTGCCGGCGCCACGGCATGGTAGAGTGCGCGAACTGAAGAGTCCGGTGTTGCCACTGTGCTTACGTATCGTCGCCCCACGGTCGACAGTGATATACTCCTACTATTAAATTCGTCCTTTGACACTGAGCTGTTCATCAAAGGAAGTGTGATGGTGACAAAAGTACTATGGATTAAAAGCACTATGTGCTGATAGGTTAGTCTCTCGCGATCAAACTGTTCTAATCAAATTGTTTTAAAGTTAGCGCAAGAGCTACAAAGATTCCATTGAAAAATGCGTCGACGCGAGAATTGTTTGGTTTAGAGCATCTCCGGCACATCACCTATACCTCTTCCCGCAAAATTCGTTTACAGGATACCTCAAAACAATTTTAAATGTTTTTACGGTACGGTTTTTGTTTCGCCATAAGAGATCCTATAAAAAAAATTGTGCTCCCAGCAAAATTACATAATCCCCCTACAAACGTAATATAAATCACAATTGGGTCTTACAATTCACAGGTTGTGTTCGTGCCGGCCGAGCTCTTGTTGCGGCAACATCGCCAGAGGCTCCTCCCGCCGCCGCCGTTGGCGCGCACCACGATCGGATGCGACCGAGCTCCTGCTCGCGTCTCGCTCGCGCCAGCTAGCTAGCTACTGCTGCTGCGCCGGTGGCCGGTGGCGGGCTCGTCTGCGGCAAGCGGAGGGCGGCGGCGAGATTTGGCCGGAATCAAGCTCGGAAGGCCATGGCACCGACTGCGAGGGAAGCGGTTGGGGCTGAAATTTCCCTCCCGCCAAGGATATAGGATACTGCAAAAGGAGGGTGAAATCCTGCACATATAGAAGAATTGGGCTCTCGGATGCGGGATCCAACAAAAAAAATCCGGCAGGTTTGATTTGGTGGATCTGTTCGGGCTGGGGATACAGGATTGTTCCTGCAAACCGGTGGTTATTATAGCGGATGGCCCGGTTTGTGAGATTGGCTAGAGATGCTCTTATTGGAGAAAGGCAACCACATCAAGCTAGATATATCCCATCGAAGCCGGCCACAAACATGTTCTTCGACCTCGTCGACATTGAGAGAGAAGACATATCCGAAGGGGTCAAACATGTGCTCTTTGATCCCGACTAAGAGCATCTCAAACAGGCGCCCAACGCGTAGCGCGCAAAAATCTGGTATGCGGCACGCGCAACGTCAGGTTTGGCGCGGGGCGCAGCGCTGCCTCCAGCAGTCGCGCCAAAATGCAGCGCGCGCGCAGCTCCAGCAGTGCGCTAAAATGCAGCGCGCGCGAGCAGCCACGCATCCACACTTGTTGCATTTTCACACAAAACAAAGACATGGCATAATTTTTAAATCACAAACATCATTCACAACCAAGTTTAAATGAATAGTTCAATTTATTACAACTCATCAAACAAATAGTACTTTGAGAAATACAATAAATAGTTTAATAATACAACATCAAACGCACAAATCATGATGATCTTCGGTGGCCATTCCAAGCCCACCACTCCTCAATGAGATCCTTCTTGAGTTCATTATGCGCTGCCGGACGTCGAATGGCATGATAGGAGGCAACAAAACGGGCCACCCTTTCAGCCCTCCACCGCACTCGCACGGGATGTCCCAAGAGCTCATACTGAGAGTAGTCTACATCTTGGCCACGCTCATTCTCGATGATCATGTTGTGCATAATCACACAAGCATGCATTATGTATCAAAGCATCTTCTGATCCCAAAATCTAAGCCGGTCCTCTCACAATAGCGAATTGGGCTTGCAAAATCCCAAAAACTCTCTCCACATCTTTTCTAGCCGCCGCGTGAGCATTTTGGAAATCAAGATATTTCTTACCTTCCAATTTTTTCAACAACTTCACAAATGTTTGCCACTTTGGGTAGATGCCATCCGCAAGATAGTAGCCATGGTTGTATGTACGACCATTAGCTACAAACTGCACCAGTGGCAGTTCACCATTTGCAATCTTACTCATCAGTGGTGACCGGTTGACAACGTTGATGTCATTCAAAGATCCAGGCATTCCAAAAAAAGCATGCCAAATCCAAGTCTCATGATCGGCCACCGCTTCAAGGATTATAATGGAACCCTTTTTTTGTCCGTGAAATTGTCCATGCCATGCCTTTGGACAATTCTTCCAACTCCAATGCATGCAATCTATTGAGCCAAGCATACCTGGGAACCCACGAGCTTTGTTCATCTCCAATAGCCTTGCGACATCTTCAGCATTGGGAGTTCTCAAGTACTCCGGGTCAAACACTTGCACAATTCCTACTGCGAAGCGCTTGACACACATGATGGCTTGGCTCTCACCCATGGCCAAGTGGTCATCAACTAGATCAGCCGGAATACCGTATGCCAACATACGCAAAGCGGTCGTCACCTTCTGAAAGGTGCTATGCCCGAGCTCTCCGGCGGCATTCCTCCACTGCTGAAAAAATCGGTCATGGCTTGCTAGTTTCTCTGCAACGCGCCTGAACAACTCGGTGCTCATCCTAAACCGGCGACGAAAGTACGACTCGGGGCATGTGGGATTCTCCACAAAATAGTGCCTCGTCAATCTGTTGTGGGCATCAATACTATCCCTCCAACCCATAACCGATCCACCGTGCTTCGGCTTTTTATTGATGTGCATAGCTAGGATCATTGCAAGATCCCCTTCCTCTTCCATATCAAATTCTTCTTCAGAAGTGCCATAGCCCGAACTCATCTAAAATGTTCAAAACTAGGCTATAAACAACATGCACCAAATTTCATGCAAAAAAGTGGAAGTTGAAAGCAATACATACCTTGCGGACGTTTTGTCGAACACCTTGCGGGCGCCAAAGCGGCGGTGGGCGGCCGGGCGCTGTTCATCGGAGACTGCCGCGCGCAACGGCGACGCTGACCAGAGAGAGAGGGAGGAAGCCATGACCGCGCGGGAAGAGACCGGGGAAGCGCCGAAACGGTCGCGGGAAAAAATGGGGTGGCGCGGGGCGGCGGCGGCTGCGCGGCTGGATGGGTTGGTGGAGTGAGAGCAAGCGCTCGAGAGTCCAACACGTGGGAGCGGGCGCAGCAAATAAGCGGCACGCGATGGCGTTTCCGCCCGCACGCTGAATTACATATGCCGCTCGTGCGGTTTTTGCGCGTCTGCTGGAGCGCCGGGAACGGTAGCGCGTGCGCTAAAACCACTACTTTTTCGGCACGGCGCGTTTATAGCGCGCCTGTTGGAGATGCTCTAACAAGACTCATCTGACACTGCCCGCGGCTCTTATCAAGTCTGCTCCTACTGCCTATCACCACCTCCGAACAACCAGCCCCGAATGGACGCACCATCGCAAAGTCTGCACACCCCAGTCCCGATGGCGCCTTACCAACAACCACAATGCAACCCATGTGTACTCCATAGGATCTCTTAGAAATGATGCTTCCAACCAAGCAAGGACGCCCATCGCCGATCCAACAAGGCGGATGTGGGTATTCACCCGGAGAAAGGATCATAAGGGCGAGAGGGTGTCGGATTTGCTCAGTGATGCCTCGAGGAAGGAAACAATAGCCATAGATGTTGTCATCACTGGAATGACAAAGACTTTCATCTGGAGGAACCGCACCCCTACACCAAGGACAATGTCCCAGCCACAACACCATCACTCGACCACACTGCACATCCCTAGTTCGAGCTGTTGGGGAATGTTGCAGAAAATAAAAAAATTCTACGGTTCACCAAGATCAATCTATGGAGTCATCTAGCAACGAGAGAGAAGAGTGCATCTACATACCCTTGTAGATCATGCGCGGAAGCGTTCAAGAGAACGGGGTTGAGGGAGTCGTACTCGTCGTGATCCAAATCACCGGAGATCCTAGCGCCGAACGGACGGCACCTCCGCGTTCAACACACGTACGGTTGGGAAGACGTCTCCTCCTTCTTTATCCAGCAAGGGGGAGGGAGAGGTTGATGGAGATCCAGCAGCACGACGGCATGGTGGTGGAAGTAGCGGCGATATCGGCAGGGCTTCGCCAAGCTCTACGAGAGGGAGGGGTGTTGCAGAGGGAGAGGGAGGCGCCAGGAGCAGGGGTCTGGCTGCCCTCCTCCCCCGTCTTTATATATAGGGGCCCTGGGGGGTGGCCGGCCCCCTATAGATCCCATCTCAAGGGGGAGGGGGGCGGCGGCCAAGGGGGGGGGCTTGCCCCCCAAGTCAAGTGGGGCGCCCCCACCCCTAGGGTTTCCAACCCTAGGCGCAGGGGAGGCCCAGGGGGGCGCACCAGCCCACCAGGGGCTGGTTCCCTTCCCCACTTCAGCCCATGGGGCCCTCCGGGATAGGTGGCCCCACTCGATGGACCCCCGGGACCCTTCCGGTGGTCCCGGTACAATACTGGTGACCCCCGAAACTTTCCCGACGGCCGAAACTGGACTTCCTATATATAATTCTTCACCTCCGGACCATTCCAGAACTCCTCGTGACGTCCGGGATCTCATCCGGGACTCCGAACAACTTTTGGGTTACCGCATACTAGTATCTCTACAACCCTAGTGTCACCGAACCTTAAGTGTGTAAACCCTACGGGTTCGGGAGACACACAGACATGACCGAGACGACTCTCCGGCCAATAACCAACAGCGGGATCTGGATACCCATGTTGGCTCCCACATGCTCCTCGATGATCTCATCGGATGAACCACGATGTCGAGGATTCAAGTAATCCCGTATACAATTCCCTTTGTCAATCGGTACGTTACTTGCCCGAGATTCGATCGTCGGTATCCCAATACCTCGTTCAATCTCGTTACCGGCAAGTCACTTTACTTGTACCGTAATGCATGATCCCGTGACCAAACAATTGGTCACATTGAGCTCATTACAATGATGCATTACCGAGTGGGCCCAGAGATACCTCTCCGTCATACGGAGTGACAAATCCCAGTCTCAATCCGTGTCAACCCAACAGACACTTTCGGAGATACCTGTAGTATACCTTTATAGCCACCCAGTTACGTTGTGACGTTTGGT